TCTACTTGACTTACTAAATGGTTCTATATATATGTATAGTCCCTGGTTTTCTTCGCTTTTTTTAATTTTATTTCAGTAGCCGCTTACACTAATATCGCCCCCAGTTCTTTACAGTCGAATGATAGTAGTTTTATGTTTAAAGTAACATTCATACTCAGCGTATATATTGTAGTTTGCCACTCCCTACAAATCACTTTCGTTAATAAAATCTATTGCTAGTTAGCTAATTTCGTTTTTCTATTGGTCGTGTTTCCCTTTCTAAAATATATAACTAAAAAGAAATTGGTCATAAAATTGCTGTTTGCAACACACACGCGCACACACACATGCACACGCACGCACGCACACACACACACACACACATATATATATATATATTATTTTATTTTTTTACATGAAAATATTACCTCGTGTGGCAACGATGCGAAGATCTCGGGACAGATATGGCGTTCCGTGATGGCTTTTGTTGTTACACAAGATAATACAATATAATGAAAGTTTCCAGATATTAAGTTCTTAGGAATTCATTAATACTTGAAAAGAAAAACAGCATAGCACCGGAAGTAAGACTAGACCTCTGGAAGCCGCTAATTGCCTAGCTTCTAATGCAACGGTCTGTTCATCCACTTACGACCGATATGGGCAGCCATAGGTCGCGTGGCTAAACAACAAGCACAATATTGTTCGCTATCTGCTCGATCCTACATCCCGACGAAGTTCTAGATATCGGAGACCACCTACGAGCGACCCTCCTATAGGCGTAGCTTTCCTCCGCCTTTCATAGCACCCAACGAGTACCGGACAGCTGCTTTCTATTGGTTCCTCCCATGTCGATTATATTTGTCAAACAAAATTCGTTAATTCACCATCTAGCGGAGGATTTCTAAATTAATCACTGATCTGACAGGGGGTGGGGTCTTTATTCTCATCATATCATGACTATCGACGGTTCTTAAGCGATGACTATACGCCAGGAATATTCGGTTGATATGAAGACAGGATGTGCTAAGACTTTGCGGCACCATTCTAATCTTGCTGTATATATGTAACAACAGAAAATCACCGACTAAAACTTAAATCTTGCAATCTTCTCTCTGAAATGACGTGAAATTAAACGCAGTTTTAACTTCCTAATATCTATAAACAATTTTATGGTTGCATTGTCGTACATTCAAATCATTGTGCAACAGTTTAAGAGTTTCCCCCAAAATTGATATTGTTTCTCAGGGGCACAGTGGTAAGTTTGAAGGCTTATAACACTAAAAAGCTAGTCTTGATACTTGTGATGGACACAGCACAGATAGACCATTGTGTAGCTTTGTGCTTAACATAAACAAATAAACAAAATGATATTGTCACAAAGTTCAATCTTTTGCTTTTGAAGTACATTTAATTAAAGCTTTTGTTTAACGACTTTCTTCTTTATGGACAACTAATCCACAGTCAACTCTTGAGCTACTTTAGACGAATAAAGGGATTTTACTGCAACTTTTATAACGCATCCATGACCTCAAAATGCGGAGCGCGATTTTTTATAGTAACAGGATGCCAACCATGAATTCTCGGATCCTAATATACTAACAACTATACTATGCTCAGCCTCTTCTATCTTGATTAATCTATGCATTTAGTGTAGGAGTGTGACTTTAAAATCCTAATCTAGGTCGAATTTAAACTCAAAAGATTGTAGGAACAGGATTATAGGAAGCGGGAACGAGTCCACTTTTTCATGGCATGTATAGCTACAGCTTTTGTATTAAAACTTGCTTCTTTTAATTCAATACATTACACTGTGTGTATGCAGTATTTAAAGTTAAAATGGCTCAATATTCAATCTCATAGCATTAAATTAAACTTTTCTGTGGGTCATACTCCCAGATCCCCCTAGAAAAGCCATGCTTTGCACACATTGTTTGGTTGTGCAATGGCCTGACCACCCCAAAATTGCTTCCTACAGCAATGTGGAGTTAACCATGCTCTACTGACGAATTGTATTTCCATGCACGTTACAAATAAAAATAATAATGTTTTATGACAGAGATTTTTAAGTATTGTAAATGAGAGCAGAAATATATGTATGTCCTGTTGTTAAACTGTTAATATTACTGAGATAAAAAGAGAAAGAAATTCACTTATTTACACACAATATTCAATTAAAAAAGTAAATGCATAAGAGAATAAGAAATATACAATTATTTACTTTTGCATACATAAATGTTAAATAAGCAAATCTGTTGTATTCTTCATACAATTTAACATCAATAATCCATATTTTTGTCAATGTTCTTTCTGTATAAAAATACATCCGTTATGTAGAGTCAGACAGCAATTAATGTTACAATTAGTTTAATTTAACTGTCATTTAGCCCATATATATGTGTGTGTGTGTGTGTGTGTGTGTGTGTATATATATCTTACGGATATTTATTATAATCTGAAAGTAAGATAAGATGTATCACTGGTTAGCTCACTGAAGGTTTAAAAAATGCAGAATATTTTAGAAAATAATGTTTACAGAACGATCAACAGATGACGCTACTATACTACCGTGGTTTATTTTGTTCAATTTCACAATTCACTAACGTATTTTAACAAAGTTTTAAGAAATCACTTTCTTTAACAAAATCTGTTCCTAGCGTTACGTATTGAGAACTTGAAATAATCCAAGGCCGCGTTAAATAATTTAACTTTTAATAGTTGAACTGTACCCTGGATTTAGTGTTTAGAAATATGCCGATATTTTATTTAATTTACGCTATTTGCCAACAAGATTGATTCACACCGTTTTTGTTTTGACACAAATACGTTTTAATATATATATAAAACAGTATAATTTACAATGGCAACTATTGCAATTAGTTATTACAAACAAAGTTTCATAAACAGAAATTTCACAAACTTACAAATAACCTAAAATCATCTTCCTAGTTCAGAGTCTCCTTGATATCCAGCGAATTAATTTGAAGACGATCTACGTGCAATTATCGGAAAGCTAGCTAATTTTGTCAAGCACTGAATTGTTGGACCGTCGAAGTAAGATAATATTTTCATAAAACCACTAATGTCCGGTGAGAAACCAGCAATACTTTTGGAAAGTTACAAACGTTTGATGAGAATTCACTGACGTTCAAAATTTATAGCTGTACTGGCCAAATGTAGTATATTTTCCGGTTTGTAAGGGTTAGCAGAATCACAGTTTATTGCATACACATGGTTATAACAGTTTCCTAGCAGACTTGTATATTAGCTCTCTTCTCTGTTTTTTGGTGTGTTGCCCCGCTGTTTTTATAGACAGGACACATTTTCTCGAAACTTCGGATAATACCGGTTATGGAAGTGGATATAATGTTGATTCTTGTGTTCACAAATATTCTACAATCTTGGAGAATTGGCGGGAGTTTCGCATACGTAACTAACACGGTAAGCTAGACACGTCCTCAAATATAAACTTATTCGAAACAAACGTTGACATTAAACTAAATATATAACAAATTCGTTATACGCAACACATTTTTCATACTACAAGTCACGCATATTTCTAAATAGAAATTCAATAAAAACAATGTTCATACTAAAAATAAATACATAATAATAAATTCGTTACACTAGAGTGTAAAAAGTGATAAAGTTTCATAAAAAGAAAGCACATACTAGTTAGCTAATTTCGTTTTCCTATTGGTCATGTTTCCCTTTCTAAAAATATATAACTAAAAAGAAATTGATCATAAAATTACTGTTCACAACACACACATAGTGGTTCATAATAGGGATCACAAGAAATTTCACAAAACCCTAATTGAATGTTCGGGCAAAAAGCTCCTTCAACAATAGATATTCAGTTCAAACAACACTTTAAAACATCTTCTGTTGACTGCTAAGGCTCTACACATGTAAAAAAGCATGCATGTTAGAGTTACAAGGAGAATAAAATCTGCTTAAAACGGTCCGTTTGTAATTCAAATTTTTATAAAATAAAAAATTATATCAAACCAATATTTCTTTATTATTCTAAGGTAAGTTACAATCGACTAAAATGTGTCACTGACCAAATCTGAAAAGAAAGAGGCTGGACATAATGTACATCAGAGTGAAATAATCTTTAGTGAACGTTAAACATAATCAAAAGACAAATGAATGTATTTATTGGAGGTTTGGCAGCTCTCAATGAAAAATCTGTTTGAAGTTAGTAAAAATCTTTGAAAAATCCCTTTCAGACTAAAATGAAGTAGCATTACATACATGAAGCAATAATGTTATTTTTCTCAGGACACGTGCGCTACCTACATCACTGAATGTCGATTCTATCGAAAAATTAGGAAGTATTTATTCTCAAAGTATCACCTAACCTATCAGTGGAAAAGATCGCTGTCTGTTTCACATAATACCATACAGAAATGATCCAGAACAATAGGTAACTTGAGCGAAAGGAGCTTAGCCAATTCCTTGACAAATGCTCTATAATTAAAACCATATACATTTATATGCATGGAAAATATGAAACGTATATGCGATCTCAAAGGGTTAAATAAAGGAGTTGGAAAATTTATTGTATGTTCGTACTACACAAGCTGCCTATATAGATCAGGGCTAAAAATGAATCAAGTAAATCATGTAGTTAATTCAATAGACTGGTCTAACTAGAATAGTATATTTGTGGTAATTCAAATTTTTACCTGCACACATGTACCAGAAAGAAAAGTGCAGTGATGTATTGCAAAAAGATTGAAAGTTTGAAGCTTCAATAACATAAACAATTCATTTAGTGAAAAAGGGTTAATTATCCAGTTGGATGGACTATTACCTTGTGAAGTAATTTTAAAAAGGTAAACTGAACTATGATAAAATTCACCAGTAAGTAAGTATTTGCTTCTTCAGGACATAAACGAGTCTGTTCTCCTCAAACATCAGAACCAATCTCTCCCGAAAAGTTCCACATTGTGCATTCACAAAGCACATTCTCTCTGCAGTTGAGAAATCAGAATATAGGCAACAAAATCCAGGAGTTTCATGTGACAGTCACAAAAGTATTCATCAACATATAAGGTCAAGAAGGACATAGTTCAATTACCTCATAATACAGCAAATAAGTTCCTTGACTCGTTAAGCTACAAAAAGTAATACTATGGGTTGAATTTGTATACACAATCTCAACCAGGATTAATAGGTTCCAAAATTAGAAAATGTAAGGTTTTTGTAGATGATAAGTAGAAACCATGGGAGAGTAAGATATGTAGCATTTGCATACTACAGTTTCAAAGTTAGTTGAGAATATTTTAGTAATTTCATTCTAACGGTTGTTCTTTTCTTCCAGTCGTTATTCGTCCAGCTTTCATTAAAATCTTAAAACACTTTTCTATTTGAACTTATGATACTCCTTTTGTTCTATTCAGTCTCAAATATATTATAAGTATCGTTAAAGTAATCCCAGTTACTGTTATTATGGTTAGTAGCCTATATGATCACTTAAGTCTTATTATTAATTAGGTGTTTTTATTATTATTACCAGTTATTAATAAATTCATGTTCTACATTTAGGTTGTCAATCTGCTGCCATCTTCAGGAAAATCCCGAGGAAGAATTTTTTGGATGATCAGAGCTGATATTTGATCCTGGGTCTTGTTAGAGAGGCTAGTGTGCAATCCATCATATTGAGGTCTTCACTATTAAAGCTTTAATCAGCTAATAAATTTAAATGGCTTCAGGTGGA